ATCACATTCTTTAGTCTTGCTGATCCACCAAGAGATCGAGATCTTGCAGTGCCGCGCACCATAGAGGACCTTTTACCTCCTTGCTTGGTTGATTCATAGTGAACCAGGGCGACCCCCGGTAGTGAACAACCAAGTCCGGCATACTGTTACCTGGCATCCCCCCGTTCGGACACATCATCGCCGTGGTCGTCCGGCGGTACGGCGCGGTGGACACGCCAAGGCACAGCGAGGTGGTCAAGCTTTTGCTGGAGCACCACTTCGACCCGGAGGTGGTTGAAATCGCCGGTGCGGCGTTTGGGTCAGAAAGGTGCCGACGTTGACCGAGAAAAGCCACCCATGTGTAGATAAACCATGCCAAATGAATGTGACTAGGATCACAACGAAGCATTTTTGTTTCAGTTCGTCATAGTATTGCAACCCCTTACGTTGGCCCTTCTTATTATCCAACTAGCTCTCCGTATCATGTGAGAAAACATGTTGAATGGAGTATGTTGGGGTTTCCACAGTGGTTGTTGATGAAGCTCCGCTCTGACAGACCATTAGGTGAGATGGCTTGTGATTGTTAACCAGAAGGGCTCAGTCTCTGCATCTGAAAAGGAGGTGGTTGGGGCGCCAGGAGGCTTTGTCCCTACCTTCTGAGGAGATGGTTAGAGCCCCAGGGAACCATGGTTGGCTTATGTTTCTTATAATCGCCTGCCACTGAACGGATAGGTGTTCAGGCCATCAAAAATTAAGATGGACCGTGTATTGCTTCAATTCCGCGTGTCTAAATACAAAATCCATCACCGACATGTCCTGACTCATAGACCACTGGCTTCGAACTTCCTGTGCACGCCAATTCGGTTTCGGTGCTACACCCAATTCGGTGTCACTTCGACAGTCCTTCACGGTCCTTCGTTGAGTCCAGTTCTGTCCGTCCGTGCCGTCCGCGTCGTGGGCCGCGTGTCCCGGCACTCCGAGTGTCCCGGCACGGCGCTCAAGGGTCGGTCCGACACCATGTGAGTCACCCCCGATGGTCCAAAGGAGAGTGTCCCATGACCAAAGTGGTGTAGGATACACTGTCCATGAAGGGTATATATATATATGTATATATAGGCTACCTGTACCGGAAAACAGGCCTGAAACACTTTGAAGATGAGTACTGGTACAACTGCATCTCGGGGGTCGTCACTGTCATGCGCCATGTTTGAGGAGACCCTACTCCTCCAGTTGCGATAAGAAACAGCCTTTGTGCCCCAATTGGGAAGAGAAAGGATGGAAAACATAGATGGACCGAACCTTTGCTTGGTTCAGAGCCTTCAAAGTGTTCAACCAGTCAAAATCAAACATGGGTCGGTCGACCTTGTCGTCAGACCAGACCAGTGCAGACTTTCTTTGTGCACTTCGAAAAACCAGGAACCCTTCGAGGGCTTCCTACCACTGCAATGGGCTGAAGCGGCTCAACACACGAACGTCTTGGAGCTCTTGACCTCAACGAGGAGCGCCCGACGATGTCATGCGTCCCGACGGACCTGGTGCGATCCACCTGGTCCAGTCGCCACCATCCGGAGACGAGGTGTTGACATGGCATGACCGTTCGTCCAATCAAATGAGGTCCATTCCTGACCTGTAGAGTACGATGTTGGGCATCCTGTAGATGGTCGATAGAGAAACGTCCTGCAAAGTTCTCCACGCGTCACCGCCCCGGTTCGCCGTTGCCCCGAACCGTTTCGAGGGGGGGTCGGGGAGAGTCGGGATCCGATGCCTTCCAATGTGGCCCGGGAGTGCTTGGTGTGGAGACGTGACATGAACATGAAGCACAGCCATGTGGCTGTGTATCTCTAAACTTCTCTAGTCAGGTAGTCACACAATGTCACACACACATATGCAATCAGAAGGGAAAGACAACCCGGTTTGTGTCCACAAAGTCTTGTGTACTTTTTGACGTGTTTTTTTGCATGGGTCTGGAATTTTGACATGAACATGATTCTCAAGAAGGGACCCCTTCCAAAGTCATTGATCAGCTTGATCCATGGATTGTTGGGTCTAGCGATATCAGGTCTTGGCTGAAGCTGCTGGTTCCATTGAAGACATGACTGGATTGACTCTTTGATGGCAGATCTAGATGAGGATACCGAATCAGTGTCGATACCGAATCAGTGTCGATTCCTGCGCAATAGTGCGCGGGACATCCCGCCCTCTTGGTGTGGGGTGCGGACTGGCTGTTTCGGCAGCTTGTGGCTTGTGGGTGCAGAAAGGAAGTGCCATCCCGAAGTGGACGGGGAAGACATGTGAAGACTGTGTGCATGGGTGACAACATGTCACATTTGTTAGAATTTCATAATGTCCATGGAAGACATCTCCGGCTCATCCATTGGAATTCATTAAAAACATAGAAGCAACTTCCACTCCTCCAACCAGGCTCAGCAAGTTGAGCAACAGCCAAGGGATGCCTGGCAGGCCGTGCGGGTGGAGGAGTTGTAAGGATGAGAGATGACGAACCCTCAAGAGCCTTGTCGTTCAAGGTCCTTGGAAATTCCCTTCTACCTGGAAAGAGGTGAACCACCGGTTTTTTCATGGTTGAGATGGAGATGGTACAGGATGGTACAGGATGGTTGGAAGATGCAACGACGCAGTGGGACACCAGGCATTTGTTATTGGGTGATAGTGCATGTGATAGTCGGTGACTAATATTAGTCAATGATGGATGAACTCCTGCATGCTTTTCACGCGAGTTCCAGAGAGCATGCTTTTTGGATGGCAGGTTGACTCACCAGCCCTGTTCACCCATGTCCCCACACTGGATGGGCGCGCGTCCCGCGGTGCGTGAAGGCTAATCATTTATATATCATCATCGCCCGGACGCGCCGGTCCTCGCAGAGGAGACAGCGAGTGGGTTCAGCAAACTGTTACGGCCTTTTTCCCAGGCCCCCAAGACTGATCCTGAAAAGGGAGGGGTAGAATGAGCTCACGTGACGCGAACGGATGCATAGAGCCTGGATAATATTTTCTGTTCTTTTTTCAGCAACATTGGCATTGTGAACCTCCAAGTGGTATAGGACAGTTGCCCTGTCGTGTTTCTCCATGAGGCCGCCGCGGAAGCAGAAGAGACCATACCACGAATGGCGGCCAGCGAGGCCAGTAGCCGTCCCCAGTTCCACGACGGCTCGCGAGTCTCTGGCCCAAGCCTCGGCAGGATCTCAGGAAGCTTTCTGCGCCTGTGGAAATGGAATGATAGAGGTTTCTGTCATAGACTCTTGATTAATAACCTCTTCATGAGAGGTTTTATACTGTAAATGAACAGCGTGCTGATTTACGGTGGGATCCACAAATTTTCAAGGTTTTTCAGGTCTCTTAGGTGACATGCCTTTGATTCTATAGTACCAGATCACAGCCACATCTTTGTGCTTTCAATCCAAGTTTCCTGATCATCAGAGAAAGACAAGGAATTCCAGGTTGGAAGGTCTACCAATTCAAGGAGTCTAACACTGCCCGAGATCATTTCAAGCTCTTGGATAGAATCCTTTTTTCAGGCTCATGTCATACAAACACAACATCCCCATGTCATTGATCAGGACACTTTTGGACAGACGACGAGATGCTTTGGTCAAAGCTGATGAATTTGTTAGTTCACAATTCCCAGTGATTGTTCTATTTAACCTGAACTAAGTGGAACATTCCAGTCACACCCAAACAAAAGAAGTCACACATCACAAGAAAGAGCCATGCTTTGTTCAGATGCTTTTTGCAGTTTCATGCTTTTTTGCCAAATATATACAAATATGGTGGGGCTTTAATGAGTCATTGAGTCATCCCAAACACTGGGAGGCCTCCATCTTTGGAGTCGACCACCAGAAGGCCATCCACTCCTGAAGACCCGGAGACCATCCGCTTCTCACGAACGCCACGCTCTGGAGGATGAGCCCAAAAGAAAACCACGGGCTAGGGATGGCTAGGGCTCCAAAAAATAATGTAGACCCGCAAGTTTTAGTACGTATTTTGTTTGACCATGTGTTATCAGTTGGTTTGGTGCCCAGTTTTTTTGGGGCCATGAGACGCGTGTTTGCGGGAGCCGGTGGCTTTGGGGAGAAGAGGTGCCTCACGTTCAGCATTTTCCGGTGCTCGACTTGTACGGGATCTTTGGAAGATTCTGGAAGTAAGTGCACTCTGAGGTCTCCAAAACGATCCAAAACTGCTGAAACATATTCTGACCAGAATGAATGAACAGAATCTCCCTATGGGACGGGGTTAGTTGGATCCTTCGAAAGAGAACGGACGTCGAACATGGTGGCACACACCGGACCTACGAGTGCGCCTAAGGGGACCATGAGCGATTCTCGGTACTAACCGTACCTGGACCGTGACTCCAGCACATGAAAAATGCATGAAAAATGCGACATGACCCGAACATAAATCCGATCAACAGCAGATGTTCCATCGTGCATACTTGCAGGATCCAGGTGTTTGGCGCTAGATCCAAAGGGATCGTCACATTGGGACATCTTCCCCACGTGGATGAACTGGAAATAGCTTGCCCGGGAAAACCACTGTCCACCCTGTATCCTTAGGGATCCACATACCTTCTCAGGAGGTACTTGCGCCCCTCCAAGCCTACATTAGTCTCCAATCACCTTCTAGAAGGTACTTGGATCCCTAGGGTATAACATGTTTGTGCAAGACGGATGTCACATGAGAGGAGACAAATGTCATCCCAATGAACAGATTTGAGTGAACAGGCCGCCCCCAATATATATTATTTATATATATATATTATATATATATACACACTGTATATACCATGCATCTCTTCTTTTCGTACCTGTGAGTTGTAATAAGATTGTGTCATAAGTCATAAGATATAGGTTTGCCATGCAGGCTTCAAGTTAGAGGAAAATCCAAGATCTGAGATAGAAATCGTGCACAGATCTTTTCTATCGCAGAGTTTTTGTGTAGACAGCAGCCAGATGCCAAGGGTGTCAATGTGCACACGGCGATTGATGCCCGGTGGCTGCCGATCCAAGGTCCCTTCTTCTTGAAAAACTTGAAGTCGGTGCTCAAATGGTGGGCTTTACTTTTCCATGCTGGAACCTAAGCGTGCTGTTGGACAGGCAGCGCATTTTGACCATGCTCCTGATGGAATGAGTCAAGGCTCTCATATAGAACTCATTGAGAAGAAAGGCATGGCATCACATCGGTCCGGTGTGATAAGAACCCTGGGAAAGAGGGAGGTTGTTTGGGGTCAAGCTTTGTTTGAGTATCCCTATGGATCCACTGCCACCTTCTCAGGTTCGGTCATTGGACCCTCCTGGCGCCTACATAAATAGTCTCCGTCCTCACCGTACCTCAGGTTCGGTCTGTGGATCCATACCCAGACACTCCATGGGACGCCCCATTGACCCCCCAAACCACCCCAATGGGCGGCATATATGGCAGTCCCATGGAGTGTCTGGGATAGGGTATAAGAATGTATAAGAAATCGTCAGCGTCGGTCGCCTTGGTGGTCCAGATGCCCAGTCAGCACGGTCTGCCCGAGGGAACTGACCGATCGTGGATCGACGCGCGCGGTGAAAGACTCGTGGATCGACAGTGTCGTTCGACATTTAGGGACGAAAGGATGTGCTGCAGGTGAAAAAAGGGAGAGGAGAGGACAACATGGAAATATGAAACCAGACCTTATGTGGTAAATCACCTCTTAATACCTCTCATGTTTCATCGACGATATGGATGGTTTTAGTTGGCATTACAGCCACCCAGTACTACCAGGAATTGGCGAGACATCTTGCCTTTCTCGGCATGAAAAAGGACCACAGCCACCCTCTAGATATTCGGAAAGAACGATCACCGTGATCTTTAGACAAACCTTCTGCATTTCCGGATGTTCGGCCGATGGAAACAGTTCGGCCGATGCCTCCGCCATCAGCGGGCTTTCGGATCCACCTGACGGATGGATCCGTCCTCCGCCCGGGCTTTTGGGGGGCCACCGGGGGGGACCCCATGGGTGGCCGTTTCGACCAACGGCCGTGACCGGTTTTGTTGATGTATATGATTTGATAGATGTTGATAGTACTTGATATAAAGTGTTGATTTTTTTTTTTTTTCGATATGATAGTATAGAGTATTATACCTCATGCAGCTGGTTCTTTTGTCCCAAGTAACATCGACCCTGTGACCAACTGAGGCCCATCCCTTGGCCTTCGCCCACGCGGACGTGTCCGGGGCCGAAGGGACGGTGGCCACGGACGTTCCGCCGGTTGGTTCGGGTCGCACTAGGCTCGGCTGGGATGGGGTGTAGAAAAACCGTGAGGATGTGGGACAGGTGGTTCATGAAACATGGGTCAGTCTGTTCATTTTTGCGATTGAAAGATCGAGCCGGTAAGACGGTAAAAGAAGGATAAAGAACGTAAAGAAGGGAACACTGGAACAGCCTGGTATCAGCACAAGGGCTTTGGCGAGAGCCCAGCATGGCCTATGAGATTGGTGCAGTAAAGAGTCAACCAGGGTCCTGGCGTGCCATTAGCCATGGCCGCCATGGCCACTCAGGCTTTTGCTTTTGCTGCAGCAGCACTTAGGCATTTGTCCAATCAGCTCAAGAAGAGGTTCCATGAAAGCGAGACAACATGCAAGAACATCAAGAACTCGTGCAGCACTTGTTCAAGATTCTGACAGTCCCCAAATCCATTCGCTGTTGGATCGACATTTTAGCATTTCACCAGGGGAACGCGCTTGAATAACTAGAAGCTCGCCCAGTTGCCCGATAGGCCTGGTCGAATTGAAAACGAATGAAAACGATGACTTGCAGGTCCCACATATTATGGACGCGCCCTTCAGACAACCACGGTGGAACAAATGGAACAGATCTTCAGATTGCGTGGAAGGCGCCAGGACCACCCCCAGTCGTGACCGGTGGCCCGACCACAGGACGGTGAAGCTGCAAATCCGGTCACCAGGAGAGATCTCTACTTTGGATGGTCCAGGTAGAAAATACTGTATGTCATATGTTCTAAATGTTGTTGGATTTTTGCTGAAGGTTTCTTGTAGAGGGATCACTATGACAGAGACAGCAGCCAAACTTGGAAACATGTCAGCCCAAAAGGGTGTAAGAAGCTAGAGCCCCCAGATTCCAAAGGGCATGTTCCATTGAATTTGTTCAATCTTTCATGTTTGTTCCATCCATTCTCCATTTCCCCTAGCTACATCGCCAGTTCATGACATAGGCAGAAGCGGGCTTTAGGCACTTCCTTTGCTGGACATCACCGCCACCGGGGTCAGGTGTGGCGTTCTCCACTGCAGCGTCGAGGCCCTCTCGTGGTTCGCACCTGGGAGAGTGCTTCGCTCGGGCACGAAGTTCGGCGACCAGAAGTTGGCCCAATTCTGCATGGTCCAAAAGCATAGCGGGGACTGGGAGATACTGGGATGTACTGGGTGCTCAAAAAGACCAGCGAACATTGCCGCATGTTTTGTTGGCTACCATGAGGTGGTGATCCTGTTTTGTTTGCTCTTGGGTTGTGGCATGTTGGCTGTTTTCAAGTGTTGAGCAAGCACAGGTGAAAGCCGAGACGTCTCAACAACAGGTCGTTGCCTGCCGTGTTGACTTCGTCACCGACTTCGTCGGACAGACGCGGTACAGATGTGTGGCTCCTGTTCCGTTTTGCTTTTTGGGGGGGCCTTCTAGGACGTCTAGGAGCCGTGTTGAGGGAGCCCAAGAAAGAAGCGAGGGTTCTTCACACGACTGGTGGCGCACAATGCTGTACCACGTTGACCTGCAACCGTATGAAGCAAGCCCTGCTCATTCTGCTGCATGTTGCTACTTGGATCGAAGGGCTTCCCGGCGGTGCTATTGATTGACGGAAATTGAACTGACTAATGAAAAGAACTGTGATTGAATGTGTTTGATATTGTATATCACTTAAACAATATGGTTAATTAAGTTCTTTGGCTTGGGATGATGTCGTTTAGTGTTTGCTTTCTTTGGGTTAATGTATGAAAGCTACTTGAGTTGGGCAGGACATAGGATCGCAAAAGATATGCCAACGTATTCGATTCGTCGCATTTTCCAAATGACCGCCCGAGATCGAGTTCTGACTGGCTGATTCGGAGCATTCTCAGCAGAATAGTATTTCAACCTTGGGAATATATGCCCCAAAACATGCCGAAAAGGATAATACCAATGGTATGATGCAGCAGCTGTTCAGTGGGCATGGTTTGTCAGGAGCACCGCCCAAAACACGAGCATGAAATTTTTGCTGAGGTTCCAATTCGCTCCTTTGGGTGCTTTCCATCCTCAGATTGTCATATCAAGGGTAGTTTGCAGTTCCTGAATTCCATGGATTGACCACAAGGATTCCTGAAGAGATGCTTTTGTTACTGTAATTGAAAAGGGCCCTTTCTGTTTGGACCAATGAATGACAGGTTATAGAAATGGGATCTTTTTAGAGTGCTGAGTTGGACTACGACTTGGACTTTCTGAAAGCCATGCAGTCTGTTGAAGCTTTGCTGAAGCCCTTCACGGGCTGCGGGATGTATATGTATATGGCTGCGTGAAGTGTGGCGGTGCCTGATCCTGAAGACGGCCCACTAAACACCTCTCGTTTCATCAATCTAAGCGCACTAGATTGAGATGGTCAACAAACAACACACTGATGCTGTAGCCAACTTGGTTGCCGTCCCAAAGCCGCGCCCTCCGAGCAGCACTGTGTTTATCCAGAGAGCTACATGGCACTGTGTGCGTATATTTGGTGCACACTGCCACGCCGATGCAAGTTTACCCAATTTTCCCTAGGACAAATCACGTTGTTCTCTACCAGGCATACTGTGCCAGTCTTTTCGGCTGGCTTGGAACGCGGGAGGTAGGCCAATCCATGCACGGCTTGCTTGGAAACGGGATGTAGCTGCTCTCATGGGGATGGGGATCCACGTGGGTGCCGGAAGGTTAGCGGGCGGGGGGCATGTCGATGGCGTCGACAGCGCAGGTTTTGCGAACGTTGACGGGCCTCCAAGTACCGCACGAGTTCGCGCCCCAAGTATGAACATTGCATCCTGCCGAGTTAACATAATTGCACACACAACACTGAATTTGGAGCCACCTTGCCTCCTGCTCTTGTTCACGGTTTGTTAGTTTGGCAGGTGCAAATCATTCATTTATGGCTTGAGTGTTTCCTTGAATTTGAACATAACTGCCACAAACTGCAAATATGTTCACCACAACTATTCCTATTGCACATGAAAGTAGATTTTTTGGTACGACGAGTTGAACAAACAAGGTTATTTTTGTTTCTCAACATGTTGTGTCGCATGAATTGGAATGACAAACTGTACCGACTGCTGGTAGTTGGCGCGACCAAGTTTGGAGGACTTGAACAAACAAAACTAGACGACGGGTGGCCCGAGAGCGAGAAAAATGTAGATGTTAAGTTTGTAGATGTAGAACATGAATGTTAGTTTCTGATGATTTAGGATGTAGAAGTGGTGAAGAAGATACAAGAAGAGGTGAGAAGAAAGGAGAAAAGAAAGTAGATATGAAGTGAGATCTGTGAGAAGATGTGATGACAGGAACAAGTGGCGCAGAGGAGGTGAGCAGATGTAGCAGAGGTTTTGAATTTTGGATATAAAGGTGTTGAACAAGACGCAACAAGATGTGAGAAGATATGAGAAGAGAGAAGATCTTGCAAGTGAAATGAGTGAGAAAACGCAGATGCTCAAACGCACTTTCCACCTAGGCCGCGCAAATCCGCATGGCAGTGCGACATCACGGACGTAATTCGCCACACGGTCTGCTCACACACTAGAAACAATCCTGTCACACGATACCGTCAATCATCCCGCTCACCAGCGACACGCCGCATTTACGCCAGCATGTTTCGCGCTCCCCAGTGGCACGGCGCCACGCAAACGCACTTTCCACTAAGGCCGCACAAAACCGCATGGATGCAACATCACGGACGTAATTCACCACACGGTCTGCCCACACTGGAAGCAATCCTATCACAGGATACCGCCAATCATCCCGCTCACCAGCGACACGCCGCGTTTACGCCAGCATGTTTCGCACTCCCCAGTGGCACGGTGCCACGCGATCGTACTTCCCACCACAAGGCCGCGCAAATCCGCATGGCACTGCGACATCACGGACGTAATTCGCCACACGGTCTGCCCACACACTAGAAGCAATCCTGTCACACGATACCGCCAATCATCCCGCTCACCAGCGACACGCCGCGTTTACGCCAGGATGTTTCGCGCTCCCCAGTGGCACGGCGCCACACAAACGCACTTTCCACCAAGGCCGCGCAAATCCGAATAGCACTGCGACATCAAGGACGTAATTCGCCACTCTGTCTGCCCACACACTATAGAAGCTATCCTATCACACGATACCGCCAATCATCTCGCTCACCAGCATGCCAGCAACACGCCGCGTTTACGCCAGGATGTTTCGCGCTCCCCAGTGGCACGGCGCCCAAGGCTGCGCAAATCCGCATGGCACTGCGACATCACGGACGTAATTCGCCACACGGTCTGCCCACACACTAGAAGCCATCATATCACACTAGAAGCAAACACTTCTGAGTCCAGCTCCGCAACGTTGTTTCCCGCACGACATTTGTACTATACAAACTGACCACTTCTGAGTCCAGCTCCGAAAGACTCTTTCCCGTACTACAATTTGCACTACAAACTGGCCACTTCTGAGTCTAGCTCCAAAAAGCTCTTTCCCGTACTAC